TCCAGGACCACCACAGTGACTGAAAAGTGATGATTGTGAAACACGGAGGTGGGGGTGTGCTGATATAGGGTTGCATGAGCACAAAAGCCATAGAGAATACGAGTTACAGATGGCACCATAAGCACATGTTTGTCTTCCAAACAAAGGCCCTCCAGCAAAGAGCAGCTGAAAAGAATCATCTGTGAAGTCTGGCAGATGTTCACTTTAATTTTAAATGTACAGCACTTGTTATACATGTCCATTTTCAGACTACTTGGCTACATTCTTCTTGGGCTTTAGCTAAAAACACAAATGCATTAAAGTGTCAGGATTTATAATTAGCTAGCATTTTACACTGATCTGGGATGTACTCACTCAGATGTTGTATAACCCAAGTCCACACAGTATGCCAAAGATCAATACAAAAAGAATGCCAAAATGCACTGTGGAAAACACTGACTGTGTTTGTAAGCTGGGGCTGAGAGCCATTACTCTGCTTGCAGCCACTATCTCTCCAAAGTTATTCTAAGACCAAGATGGTGCCTTTTCCTTATAACAACCTTGTTAGGTGAAACTTAAAACTGAATGCATACTATCTTAGTTTTTACCTCTAACTGTATGAGAGGCTTTTGCCTTGCCATGTCCCGTGCTGTCTCCATGTCTGCTGACAGGACTTTCATCTGAGCGCCGCAGCATTTTGTAAGGTGGCGTGGGATCTGATGAACCATCGCGCACCTTGTCGTAATGATGAAGGCTGCTCGGCTGGCTCTTTGGCTGAGATTTATGGGTCTAGAATGGATAAAGTGTGTTAGATAGTCTTGTGAGGGTGTGTTTAAGCATGAACTAACTAGTTCTTGTTTGTTTTTTTGTCATCCTGCCCTCACAGTCAATGCAATCATTTATTTTTCTGGAAAATATAGTGCATTAAGAATATCTCACTGATGAATTGCTACACCATCATGAACAACAGCATAATGAAAGCAAAACTAATATTCTCAAAAATAAAAGGTTAAAAAAGAAGCCTTATATGTATTATATATGTAAAAATGTGTCCCACACTGCCTGCTGTTAGTTCAGTGCAACATAAACTTCAGGGCCCAGTTTTCCCAGCATTAAAAGAACATAAGACAAATTGCCATAGCAGTACCTATAGATTAATATATTTAAAATTTTTATTGGTTTACTTTGCCCCACAGTATTATCAGGTGCTTATATTGTTATGGATATAACTATTTCGGTTAGGATTTGAATAAAATGACGTTCATACTACACACCTCTGTTAGCAGCATTAGTAGTGACAGGTCACCGTAATGGCCTGAACATGTCATACCTGATAGGATTGTGAATCCCTTCTGTCGTTGCTCCTGTGGAGATACAAAGCAAACTCTCAGACAGTTTCCGCTGTAGCTAATAGATTAGTTTTCTTACACTGGCAACGTTTAGTCAACTGTTAGCTAATTAGCTACTGTTAGCTAAATCAGCTTAATCTGCCATATTATCAAGATGTTTGCTCTTCTTTCGCTATTTTTTAAACGACCAATGGTTTTTCCAGATATACTGTACAAAAGCTTCCCTACATTACCATTATCGTGACAGTTAGCTAGCGTCACATTAGTGTTAGCTGTTTAGCTAGAGGAAACATCCGGAACTCATTGCTAACTGCGAGCAAACTGTTAGCTCCTAGCACTAATATTTGACGGCTACAAGCGAATATGACGATCCAACCTACGGAACAAAAAAATGAGGCAACCCCAGCCTGTAATTTTTAAACTGTTGGGGTTTGTGCTTCATTTACCCATCGCTGGCTCTTGTTGGTTTCCTTGCATACATCACCATCAAGGCCGTGGTGATGTGTGTATGTGTTTGAAGGGGAACCGTAGCCTCCTGCCTGTGTGCTCTCACAGTTCTCCTTTCTTCCGTTTCCTGATGACTATACGCAGTCTATCCTACCAAACTGATACCTACAAGCTGTGCACCGAGCACCAGCATTACATAGCAGGTGGTCTTTATTAACAACCACCCGTCAGGGCATCATCGGGCAGGTAATCGGGGTATGAGCTTAGCTGGGCCGTTGCAGCTCAGCAAAAACCAGCACAGGCAGAAGGAAACGAATGGACGGATTCCCCTGTAATATTCGGCTGGATTCAAAAAGTTCCGGTTTGACCTTTCAAATTAATAGTGCAAATATTGAATGCCACAAATTTTGTAGCAGGCTACCACATGACAAAAACCGGAAAACAAACAAACAAATAAATAAATGAATAAATAAATAAATGACTGAATTGCATTACATCAAACAAAATCTCATCTCTAGTGACTGTTAAGGGATATAAACTTAACAAATATATTGATCTTACTACCTTAAATCCCAGAGCACTCATGTAGATAGATAGGCATGTGTGAAATCAGTCTTTTATAAAGAAAATAAAATGGTACTGAAAGCACACAACTGTTGGCATCACATTCAATTAAATCTGTGTGAATAAGTGGGTGTACGGTGTTCTGAATAGTGAACTGCTGGCTAACATGATGCCACATGCACTTTGATTGCTGTATTGATTGGCTGCTAGCTTGATTTAGGTCAGACTTGACACATTGACTGCATAAGAGACAATCTCTTTTATTGTCTGGCCAGTCAGACACTACACAAACGCTCTCTACAAGTGGATGCTGAAATACAGCTCAAACTATTTTGATACCAAGCAATATAGCCTGCCTGAACTGGGCCTAATGGAAGAGACAGCCTGTGGTAAGTTTATTGTTTCTGAGGTAGTTAATCTACTTTAATTGTGTGTGAATGGACTTTAAACGTGTGTGTTGGTTGGTTGGTTGGTTACTTTATTTATACCCGTAGGTAGATTTGTTTTGCAGTCAGGTCGGATCAGATCAGATGGCATCCTTAAACATTCACAAAATTCCACAAACATAAACACCACACACATACCCTGAACGTAGTAGAAATAGAAATACTCGAAACTCCACCCATCAGCACATTAAAAAGATACAAACCTCACATAAAAACAAAAACCTAAAAATCATATTATACAATGTATTACTGCAGCTTATTCAGCTCTATAACAGCAACAGGGACAAAGCTACATTTATTTAGCTTTGTTTTACAACTCGGAACTACAAACCTCGGGCCCAAAGGGAGAAGCAAAAAAATAGCAGTACAGGGGATGGGAATCATCTTTTAAAATAGAAGTAGCCATCCTCTGTACTTGTCTACTATACAGGGTTGCCACACTTGGCTGAGACTCCCCTAGCAGCCGACTAGACCACTTAACTATTCGATCTAAGGCTGTCATCTGTCTTAGAGATATCTGACCAAACCATGACACCAAGGAAAACGATATAATAGATTCCATAAAAGCTTGATAAAACATATTCATTAAAGTTTGATCAATGTGAAAATGTGCGAGTTTCCTTAAACAATGTAGACGTTGCTGACCCTTTTTACACACCCTTTCACAATTCTCTTCAAAACTCAATTTATTATCAATGATCGTCCCCAGATATTTATATGATTGCACATATTCAACAGTCTGCCCCTTAATTAAAGAGACTTCCTGCCTGTGAGGTGTCTTCCTGAAATCAATAAGCATATCTTTAGTTTTTGCTAAGTTTAGTTGCAGGTAGGACTCCTCACACCAGCCAACAAAATCATCCACAACTGAACCGTGGCTATTTTCACCATCCCTAAGAAGACTGACAATAACTGCATCATCAGCATACTTTGTGATTGTTCTGTTGTCCCATCTACTCTGACACATATTTGTATAAAAAATAAAAAGTGGTGACAGCACACACCCTTGGGGAGATCCAGTAGACGAACCCCTTCGATCAGACACTACACTATTAACCCTAACTCTTTGTGTACGATTAGTTAAAAAATCTAAAATCCAGCCCGCCAGGTTAATACTCACATTGAATTGTTGTAAAAGCCTAGCACTCTTAATCTGCGCAGATTAGGTGTGTGTAGTCCAGACCAGGGTAGCCAGGCTGGGGCACATCTGATAAACATGTTAAAATAAATTAACAACACACCATACATTATTCAGACTCAGATTGTTTATTTTATGTAAAAATGGACGCATATAATGTTTTCTTTTGTTAATTTTGGCGGTGCTCCTTATTTACTCCCATCCAGGGACTTCCTTACTGCACAGTGGTCTCCACCCCACTGAGGTGAATCCTGCCAAGAACTACACAACAACACAGTCAGAGAAATTAATGCAAATATCATGCTGCATGCTTGATATAAAAGAAAACTAATTTGAATAATATCAATTATAAAGCACCAGAAACATGTTAGTTGTTTTTAAGGCAACAATTTGATTTTCTTTTTTCATTCATTAATACTTGACAGGCATCACATTATGACTCTGGCAGGGGTGGTATCCAGGGAGGCCAGCCAGACTCTGGAGGTGCCCAGTGCCACCCCTGGCCACCTCCTGGCTCCGCCCATGGTCCAGATTTGTTCATTATCTTTCTATAGCATTTGTTGAAATTATTGAAAATGTTAAAATAATTCAAATAAAAAAAAATTATGTGGATCTTGCTCATGCTAATTAAGTGATACTCAAAATTATTTTTGGAATTGTGAAATTTTATATATCACAGAAACATTATCTTAAAATGATCAAAATCATAATATTAGAGTGTGCAAAATAAATTACTTTTAAACAGAAGATAGCAAGTATTTATCCTATGAGTTCTCGTTTCATCTTTTGTTTGTGATAATTTTACTGAAGTAACACCAATCAAGCATGCAGAAATATAACATTTGTCATAAAGGGAAATAAGTTTAAATGTTGTTGATAAAACACTGACTGATATAATAATTAACTGACAGAGCCTTACAGTGGAACAGTATATTTCCATAACGTTGAAATATTTCACAGCAGCATTAGGGGGCAGTAATATCTAGGAAATGGCATCTTTCATGTACCATGTAAAAAAGCATATATTTTATCCCCTCCTTTAATCCTTTCTGTCATGATATAGTCTCCCTCTCAGGTGTTAAAAGCAAAGGAAATCTGAGGTATGAATGTTTCTACTATTTGCGGATACATTTATATAAGTTTTGATATTTGTTGAATTTATGTTTTCTTTTGCTAGAGTGAGGAGGATATTGAGGGGAACTGAACACAGATGCATTTTCAAGGAATGATAGGTTATAGATTTTTCTTTCATTCCTGATTTTTGTTCTCCCTTGTGCACCTAACCAGAAAATGAAGCAAGTTCACTGTCACAATGAATATTTCAAGGCTCCCCCATTGGGAGATTTTACATCACACCCTTCATTAAAACTTTTAAACTTTTTCTTATGGGTTTTTATGTCATTTCATCACCTTCAGAACACATTCTGTAAATTAAATACAAATGCAGGTGGACAACTAATGGATGTATGTATACATTTTTACACATGGATGTGTCCTCCCCCTCCCCCTGTGTATATACAGTACGTTGCTGTCATCAGTGATGTCTGGAACGGCGTTTCACACAGACAGGGAGGAGGACTACAGGTTCCTCCAAAGCATGTTGATGGAGAAAAAGCTTCACCTGCTCTTTAAGGTGATGACATATTTATGCTACACTTCCTTTTACTCAAGGTTACAGTGACCAATTTTTAAACTTCTTTAGGGCCCACTTTTGTGGATGAAGATTTCAGATTCTCCACTTATGTAAAAGTAGTAATAGAACAATATAAAAATGTTTTATTACAAGTAAAAGTCCTGCATTTGAATTGTTATTTGAAGTACAGAAGTATTATCAGAAAAAAGAAGTATGAAAAGTAAAAATTTCAGTGTTATACTGATTTGTCAGGTGGTTCCTTACAGAGTTAGATATTATAAAAATGGATTATATTGTACAAAGAGCACATTTTAACTGTTAAAATTTTAAATATTAATTTTACATATTTCTTTTATGTATGTCATTTTCAAAATAAAATATTAATCCCTGTAGCTGTAAGATAATGCTGTGAACTGCGCTACCTGTAAAAAGCAGTGATGTGGAAGTACCAGAATATTGAAAGACTCAATTAAAGAACATGCCTGAAAAATGTACTCAAGTAAAGCAGAGTCATGGAATTTAAAAAGGCACCACTCATATTCAAATTAAAGGAAGGTTGCGTATTTTTAGATTCCATGAGTATACTTTAAAAAATATCTGATTGAGTAAATGTACCTAGTTATTTTCAATCAGCGTTAAAAATAAAAAAAATAACATAGAAACATATAGCATATAGTTTCGTTTAGATGTTCAATGTAATGAATGTTTACTTAGAAAATTTTATTTGTTGTGCTCTAGCCATGATAAACATAATAAATGGAATATTATTATTATGAACTGAAATAATTAGTGTTTTTCTGCTTGTTTTTCTCCTGATTAATATTCATATTAGTGTAATAATAGTAGTAGCTGTATTTTGATTGGTTCTAAATGTGGAAGTTACAGTAATTGCCTTTTTTACTGCAGAGAGAACAGTTATAATGACACTTTACTAACCTGACAGATCCATGAGCAGCTGAAGCGTTTTGAGAAGCGAAGCCCCATACATGTCCAGGAGCATGCGGCGGGTCTGGCCTCAGATGTAGGTGACTCTATCCAAACATCTTTTGCAGATAGACACACTGATTAGGCTGACATTTTGACAGCAGAAGGAAAAGGGAATAGTTTTCATTGTTTATATTTTCTTTGATATACCAATGACTTTCCTATCATACAGAATTAGGAGTGGAATGCACATTCTTCATACTGACTTACATCTCAGATGTTATCATTTCAAATATAGTTCTTTAAAGCAGATATGATTCTGTATATGTATACCAGAAGTTGGGTCACCAAGGACACTGTCAAGCACCAGGCTGCTAAAACCATTTTGCGTGTAGTCTAATGTTTCAGGATGGAGGAATATAATTAATGTCAGATTTAAGATGAAGTGACAGGAAGTATTCCCACTAGAGCTGTGATGGCCGACAAGCCAGTATTTCCTTCAGATGTGCAGAGTATTTAATATCGCAGCCCTCTTCGATTATAGCCGTTCCTTTATTTGAATGTATCCCCCTGGCTCCTTCATCTCATTTTGACCTTCTCTCAACATTAGTTGCTTATTTTCCTTCTGTT